AATTGTTAACAACTAATTCATACTAACTTCCTAACCATTACTCTTGTCAAAAAAAAAAAAAAAAACAACAACATACAAATGTTTTTTCATTGTTTATAAAAAAATATAATTAATGCCTCAAATTTTTTAAATCTTTATGCACAAATAAATTATGATTTTATATGTTAAAGAAAATTATTAACTTTGTTGGCCGAGCACAGTTCCTTGTTTTATATTTGTTTAAAATATTAATTTAGTCTCTCAACTTTTAAATTTATATCAAAATTATCTTTTAAGTTAAAAAACACCAAAATTATCTTTAAACTTTTATTTTTAGTACCAAAATAATTTTCAAACTTTAAAGATAATACCAACTTAGCCCTTAAACTTTGAAGACAAATACTAACTTAATCCTTAAACTTTAATTACAAATACCAATTTGATCTTTTAACTTTGATTATATATCAATTTGACACGTAAATAAATATATATCATGATTGCAAAATGTGATTATTTGATTTTATATGTTATTAGTATCTAATAAAAAAATTGATTTTGTGGCAAAATAACAAGTTATGTAGCAATTCTGTTAATTGAAGGACTTTTTTGCATTGAAAATTAAAGTTGAGGGATAATTTTAGTATTTTTTGAAGATAAGAGATAATTTTGGTATAAATCTAAAAATTAAGGAACCAAATTAATATTTTAACCTCTATATCTCAAAGTCAAACCCGTCCTTGTAACCTTCTAGATTTGGGATAGATTTACTCAAGTCATGTGTTCACTGAGTGAAGCCCAATTTATATAAAGAGAGAGTCATGCGCAACGGTTTCAAACCCAACCCAATAATTCACCTATTTTGAACATTAGATTTGGTTCAACCAATTTAACTGGTGGACTGCATCGTCCGTTACTTTACGAGTTCATATCCATATAGTTAGCAACATAGAAAATCATGGTGAGCAAATTGTTTAGCAACAGGCTATTTAGAGTATATTTATAACATGCTAATTAGTGTCTCAAAAGAGTGTTTGAAGTATTTAAGAGTTTTAATTTTAAATTAAAAATTTTAAATTTAAATTTTAAAATAAAAGGAGAACTATTTTTTTGTATAACTTATAAAAAAAAAAAAAAAGAAGACAAGTTTGTTAATAAACTTTTACAAATCTCTCTCACAAATTTTTAAATGTGTTAGAGGAAAAATTCATATAGGAATTTTTAAATAACTTAGAAGTAAATTTTGGAGAAGCTAGTGTCTTATAAACCCCTCAAAAAGTTAGATTCAAAATTTCCTTTTTTATATTCAAATTTATTTATCAAAGAAATTAATGGTGAGTGTATTATTAAAGGATTCACTGCAGTGTATATTTGCAATAATATTATATATCAAAAGAAAGAGTAGTAATAGCAAGCATTCACAAATTGTAATGTGAGAATCACATATATTTCTAAATAAAACCTAAGCTGCAGTCACCAATTGTAAGAAAGAGATCTTTGTTTTCTAGGATAATGCAATGCACAACAGTAGTGTGGCACTAGCAGGTGAGCTAGTAATGTGTAGCAAAATTTTTACTTTATGTTTAGATTACAGCTTTTATCAAGATAATTGTAATATTTTTCCCTCTTCCAAAATTCCTTTTTTTTCAAAAAAATTAGAAAAAAAAAAGAGTCTAGTGCATTTTTACATCTATAAAATAGGATTCTATTAAAATAATACTGGTAATAAATAAATCTAAACACATTTTGGTTGTTTGAGAGTTTTGAATATTATAGGTTATTTAATTTTTTAATATAATAAAAATATATAAACTATATTTAAAAAAAAAAAGAAAAATAAGTCAACTTGTAAAGACAGAATCTTTATATTCAT